GAGCAATATTGGGTCTCTAAAAGGTATTTTCCAGAGGACCCTATCCCAGACCAGAGAAGGACCATCACCCTGGCATACAACATACAGCGAAACTCCTCTACAACGAAACCTACATGTGCGAAAATACCCCCTAGTGTGAAAAAATCTTCATGCATGAAAGCCATTCCCTGTTTTTTGCTTCCCCCTACAACGAAAAGTCTCCCTGTAGTGTAATACGAAATCCTTTTCTCCACCATTGCCTCACAATGAAGTTCACTACAACGAAAACAAGCCTTCCGCAAAAGTCTAAGGCGGAGAAAAAAAAGTAGTGTGTTTCCGGTAACCCGACCGACCGAGAATTTCTACGTCGAAAAAAAACTTTACGGTCGGCATTTTTTTTCAAACAACCCTCTACATTTTTGTGTAGAGGGTTTACATCGGTGCAAACTCGCGATATTCACGTTGAGCGCGTGCGTCGTTTGCCCTGTCGTCTGTCAACAACAATGAATCATGGCGGCGGCGGCGATCTCCGACGACAGTTTAAGCCGCGTTTTCTGTGATACAGTCGCATGCTCGCACCGTAATGTTAAGAAAATAGCATCCATTGATGTATCGAAAAAATTCAGCGAACTATTGGATGAACACCACGGGCCGAGTAAAAACCGAAGGCGGAGGAGGACGGCGGAGGAGGACGGCGGAGGCGGCGGCGCGCTCCGGCCCCCCGAGTGTGTTTTGTTTAAATTTTTGACGGAAAAAAAAAAAAGATTAAAAAAAAAAAAAGATTAAAAAATAACTTTGTCCGACCTACCGACCCTATGCTGAAATTTCATGTTCCCGGAAACATACTATCTTTTTTGTTTGGCCTAATCCAGCCTGCCACAGCCACCGCTACTGCTTAGCTCAGAAACAGCAACAGCAACCACCACTCTGCCTTACACATGCGCAGTAGTACAGGAAGTATTTGTTATTGTTAGCACGTGGTTAGAAATGTCATCGTAGTTTCAGACACAGCACGAACGTTGCATTGCTTGGTATTAAAATGGCGACAAAACGGACCTTTGCATACCAAGGAGTTGAGAAAAGAAAAGCTTTAACACTTAAAGACAGGATAAAAGTAATAAAGATGAAAGATGGAGGAAGCAAATTAAAAGACATTGTGCAAGATCTAAGTGAATGCTGATCGTAAATTTCACAATTTCTTTCCCTTTTTTTCCTTTCTACTCTGGCTATATGAAGTGTATGCTCCTACTTATGCGCTAGTGGAATAAAAATTAAAGGTACATATATACGTTTTTTTGTGTGCGTTTACGTCTGAGATCAAATTTGCTATCGTGAAAAGTCCCCTGTTGTGAAAAGTTTCTGGCTGCAAACATAATTTTGTTGTAGAGGAGTTTTACTGTACTACACAGCTCATGAAAAACAAGATTGTCTTTTGCGGTCCAAGTGGACCAAATCACTTATATTAACCCTTTCATGCACCCTGTAACCTGATGACATGATAAGCTGTCCACTGTAGTAACCGCTGCCCCTGAAAGGGTTAAAAGTTCAGGAAACCACTGGGCAAATGTTATCATTTTGATCAGATATAAGAATTTTGCACGTCGGATGTTGCTCACAGTGATCGGAGGAATTCTCAGCGAGAATTGTGTGTATGCTCAGACACTTGAAAAATTAGAGGGAATGTTGTTCATCACCATCCCTACTGTGAAACATGATGGTGGCAACATCATGCTGTGGAGATACTTTTCTTTCGTAGAGGCAGGGGGGCTGGTCAGAGTTGATGGGTTGATGAATCGAGCTAAATACAGAGCAATTCTACAAGAAAACTTTCTGGAGATTGCAAATTATTTGTTCAATCTGTGGAAAATAGCAAATCAACAAAGGGTATTCATTCACGCTCTGTGTAAATGATATTCATGATAGTTGGAAAATGTGGATAGTAGAGGCCTGAAAAGGAACATGCCTGACTTGACCTTCAATCTGGTGTCAAATGTCAGTCAAAATGAATATGATGCCTAACTGCACATGGAACAAATATCCAAAAATGTGCATGTTGATGCAGAACTTTAATATTTGCAGCGCTTACAATTGACTCTCAAGGTAGCGGTCATTCTGCAGAATTCCACTTCCTTAACATGTAATTATGATGAAAGCGCTTTTTAGACACATCGTATAATGATGATCATCAAAATAAAGAGAGAAGATGTGTCGCTCTCAGTTTACCCCGCAGAGAGCGTCACAAAGCTTCAGGTCTCAAACATGCTGTAATAACAGCAGAGAGCTTGACCAAAGTACAGCGGAATCTCCAAATGTGAATGCCCAGGAGCTTCTACAGTTGGGAATTCAAGCTCTTCTTGAAAAATAACCCTAAACCACAGGTCAAACAGGCTCATTTCCCCAAATGACGTGTCCGAAATGCGCCATCACACCATAATATGTATTTAAAACATTGTGTTGGAACACTGCCTATGTTACTTTTGTGCTGGCACACTGGGACCCTGAAACATATAATTTCTGTTTCCATTTCTTTTGTTTTCTATTTGATTGCATTATTCACTAGGGGAAACACATAACTTAATATGAACATAGCGGAGCGCAACCAGCGTGCACATTGTGTCCCACGGTAGTCAAATATATAGTCATAAAAATAAAGTCACAAATGACTTGTTTTGACTGCATCTTTTTCCTGCTTGGTCTTAAAAAGGAACAGACTGGAGTGGGTGATATCTGCAAATGCGTTTCATTTCTTGCACTTTCTCCCACTCCTTAATTTTTTCCTCATCCCTGCTTTGCCCCTTTTCACATTCCCTTCCCACTTTTCCCCATGCTGACAGGAGAGCAGATAACCACTAAGAAACTGCAGTCATTTCATATTTTCCTTTTTGCTCTCTCTTTCACTTTTTACCCTCCATCCCTACAGTAAACAGAGGATTATTTCTTGCAGATTAGCAGCATGACTGTCTTCATGGTTGCAACTCCCTTTTGCACCGTTCCTCTCTTTCTCATCCCTCTCGATCACACCTCTCTTTCTTTTTTTATCCTTTTTCAACAGCTCAGTTCACAACGGACGGCAGTCATTTTTGTCGCGGGCCACATTGAAGGGACCATTTTCCTTGGGGGGCCGTTATGACTGTGAAAGCATTTTAAAAAGTCAAGAATAATGGTTGATTCAACGATTGTTTAAGTTACTGTAATGAGGGATTTGGTAACAAGAAAATACTTACAATATCCCTCTTATTTATTCCATATGAGAAGTTGAAATTTTGGTCCAGATTTTAGCAATCATGGTAGAAGTTGACATGTTTGATTTGCTTTCGCGGGCCACATAAAATGATGTGGCTGGCCAGATCTGGCCCCCGGGCCTTGAGTTTGACACCTGTGCTCTATAGGGTTAACGCACAATTATGTGATTCGCTGCAAAGGTTAAAATGACACACAAATCATGTGATTCTGTATAGCAACAGGGAAAAACATGGCTGTAGGTATAACGATTTGATCACAGGGAGAATCTCAGAATCCCCTAGTTCACTTAACATATCTGCATGGCTACAGCATCATAAACATGATATGCAAAAGACTACAAGTGACATATTGATGGGAAAAAAAACGTGAAAACATGTTTTGTAACGATTAAATGGTGCGTTGAATTGAACTTGTAGGCTTTTATCTTGCATCACTACATGTGAAGAGCCATTTTATCATCTGGTGTTTTTAAGTGCTGATGCCACCCCTTTTAGCAGCCATAATCAATTCACTGTGCCAGTGATGCCTTTCAACTTGTTCGCTTTTAAATGGGTTTTGCGACAGAAGAGATGTCCTCTCAAGTCCCCTGTGTTGTGGTGTGTATGCATCTCCAGTATTAGATGCGGCAGATGCTTCAGCTGAGGGGAGCTGCTCATTAGTTTTGATCTGCACCACCCCCTATTTCCCCCAAAGCGTACGGGCTTTCTCTTCCATGTCAGAAACTGATGATGTGCAATTACACAGCATGTGTCAAAGCAACAACACATCATTTAGCATCACAAAGCTGACAGTGCATTAAGGAGCAAACTGGGATAGACATTTACTGCAATGAAGTTTATATATACTGTGTGTGTGGGTGTGTGTGTGTGTGGCATACAATACATAACAGTACATAAAAAGTGCACAATACAAGGCTTAAAAAGCTATGGCACATCTGAAATAGGTGCCTAGACTCAACAAAGGTTGGGAAACACTGTTCTACAGACTTGCCGTGGAAATAATGTTCAATATTTAATTCAAATAGTGGCCTCCACTCTAAAAGATGGCCGTACCCCCAAATAATCACCACTTAAATAAATGTTCCAATTTTAACAGGTGCTTTTTTCCTAATTTGGAATAATTAAATTAAAAAAAAAGGTTTGTGCCACTAAGTGGTTGTAACTACATCTATGTCAGACACCATGTGTCACAGTTGGAGCAGTGTCTTTGACATGGCACCTGCAGAGTACAATTGGAATGTGTCGTGTAGTTCTTGCTGAACTGTCCAACACTGACGCAAAAAGAATTAGGGTAGAGAAAAAAAGCAGCATTTTAATGTCTCCCGAAAAAACAAGATACCTACACCGCTTAAGGAGGAAGGCAAAGTGTTGGACAGAAATTACTTCGTGACTGGATTCCAAACATAACGTGGTGTCCCAAAAATTGGAACTGTCAGAGATCTACTCTTGAGTGGAGCCACCGAATACTGTATAACAATAGCCCTACAGTACAAACAACTCATCAGTCGGTGCAAGATTGGATGTCATAATTACTCCGTAAAGTTACCTAATAATGCAACATTATCTTTGATTTCGGGGAACTATCTTTCCTTTTCGCAACACTGGTGATCTTTTCGAACCAGGCTTTAATGCGTTCACAGAGTTCAGGTTTGTTACTGTGCAAGACAGTTGCACTAGATAATTTTCATGGAATTCAACGTCAGCTACACAACGTTGTCTTACATTAAACAGACAAAATAAAAGGCAAATGTCACGAAGGTGTAGCTTTGTTTTACTTACGTAGGCGTCACCTCTAGACGGTTGTCGAACTATAAATGCTTCAATGTGTCCTTTTGAAGACACTTCCCGATTAAATGAGAGCACGGGGAAACACAAACATTCCCAAAGTGACACAACAGGGTGTCGCACGCAAGGTGAGCCGGTCGAAGCGAAAACTTGCCTGGCTTGTAGTCGCTCAACTGTAGCGCGAGCCCCATCAACTCCACCTGCCATGTGACAGCCACGATGCATTCAAGAACACCTCGGAATTAATAAGAACGTCGTTCTGTACATTACTTCTTTTTAAATGAGGCTTATTAAAATAAATGCCGTTCACAGCAGGATTACCATCAAAAACTTTAAAAAATATGTTTTTAAAATTAGACATAATGTATTTTGATACATCAATACTGTTACTTGTACAATGTTTCTCATTGTTATACATACGTAATACGAATGTACGTGCTTGATTGAAAATAGATGTGACAAATTTAATTTCCCTATGTTATCAATAAACGGATCTACCTATGTAGTGTCTTACCCAAAGTATTGGAGACTTTATGGTTGTCTCTTTCATTCATATTAAGGATATATTGCTAAGATTTCCATAACAGCATGAACTTTTCCAGGCACAATGACAAAAACGACTCATTTGAATTTATCCGACTTAACGCTGCCATCTAGTGGTATTAACTTATTCGACAATTCATGACGCGTTCTTACTCTTTTTTTATCTCTGATCTAACAAAGAACTGGCATCATTGTTTTCAACAAATTGACAGTGAAAATGTATTTGACTCGTTGCAATGTATACATATATATCTTTTGGTGATTTTAATCGGCACACACACACAAATAGAAATGCAACAAATTTTTTTTGCTCTTATTTTTATGAGCTAAACTCAAAGCTCTAACAGTGTACACAAAAGGCCTATCCCTTTCCAATATTGTTCGCAAATCAATCTAAATGTGTGTGCGTGATTAATTAGTGTTTTACCAAGGAAATTGTGATGTCGTGTCACAGACCTTCTTCCTTCTGTGGATTTATTTTTACTGTACTTGCTCAATTATTTTGGCCAGTCCACTTCCGGGGACCTTCTGTTTGTCTCTTGCTTTTAATTATCGATTTCTGGAGGGTGTTCCCACATACCTCGTGTGTATGAGACTTCTGCTGATCTGCAAGCGGGTGTCAGATGATTGATGCATTATAAGCAGTATTTTGGCCATTACTAGTGCACACGCTTGCCATTTTGAAGTTGAACTCCACCAGTGCCGCCCTGCTGAGCCTGGTTCCGTTTTCATCCACGGACTACTTGATTTTACACTTATTCCATCGTGCCATTCATTCATTTCGTCATCAGTTCTCCAACACAAACGTTTTTGTTTGGGAGACACCATAATGTCCCGAGCTGGCTCACAAGACTCTCACTAAACACTCCCTTTAACCTCTGCCATCTGTCTCCATTCGATTTTGGGTCCACTGTTGCCTTTACTTTGGTTTTCCATAACCAAAATTCTTCTACGTCAAAAGACTGACATGCTTAGAAAGCATGATTATTACGCAGGTGTACCTTAGTGTGCCCATGAAGTAAGAATAATTATATTGTGTTGTTTTTCCATGTTTAAAGATGTTTCGCAATAGCTTTGTGCCGCAATAACTCGCAATAGCTTTGTGCTGCAATGGCTCGCAATAGCTTTGTAGTCTTTGTATAAACAGCAATGTCATAGGATGTTTATGATGATGAGCAATGTCATTTGTTAAGAACAAAGATAGCGTGACGTCAGGCACGCTTAGACTATAAAAGGAGAACTTCGGATACTCTTAGTAGAGCCGAGAATTAGGAGAGTCAGTAGAGTCTAGGGTCCGGAGTTCGCAGAGTCCAGAGTCTGCTAAGGGTTGCGTACGGACGCCCAGCTGGTATTGAAGCTCGCTCTACCTGGGGTGTTGGCTCTCCATCCTATTGACGCACGGTAAGAGCTGGGTACTATTCTAAGAGCTTGATACACTGATATTTGCTTGTTTGACATATTCTGTGGCGCTAATAAACGTGCAATTTGTTAGTAGCAGATTTGTCTCTTGTGCTATTGAATGATTGTGTGACATATTCTGTGGCGCTAATAAACGTGCAATTTGTTAGTAGCAGATTTGTCTCTTGTGTTTCATTTCTGAGTGCCTATCTCCAACGAACCTATTCTAAATTTGATACTGAGCCAGGGCGAATTATCAGAAATGTTTTAAAACAGCCCACAATAAATGGACACTCGAAATGTATTATAAAACTGGACTACTACTATAAAATAATTAGATTGTTCAGGTCTGTGTGAGTGCATGAGGCAATTATTTGCCTCATGCAGTGCAATATTTTCTTCGCATAGGACCAACTGTGCAGCTCAATTAATTTTTTTGTATTTTATCTTTTTGAAAGGGGAAGTAAAAATAAGTTTGCACACATGAATACCCTTATAACTGGACTGCGGCTGTGTTCACAAACTGTCACATTCAAACTATTAAATGGGACTCACTTCACACCTGCCGCCACACAAGTGACAATGACGAACCTCATATCAATTCCACTGTTATAGTAGCTTTTCCTTGCATTTTCATTTGTTTTCTCGCAGGTAGCCTGGGTTAATCCTAACACTGACTGCTTTTGCAAACTGTTCCATTGTCCCTTCAACCTTGTCTGAAGAAAAACTGAACCAAAGCATTATGCTGCCACCACCATGCTTCGTTGCATAGGAATGGTGTTGCTTTGGTGATGAAAAATGTTGTGTTTGCGCCAAACATATTTTGGGAAATTTTTGCCCAAATGTTCAACCTTGGCTTCTGCTGTGTCCAGTAAGTTTAGTACAATGACAGTGTATCAACGGTCCTTTATTCCGATGGCTGTCACGTGTACACATTAACTTAATACAAGCTTAGGCAAAATACGGCCCAGGCTCCACATATCCAACCCGCTTAGTCTCTGACTGACACCGACAGTGACCATGAAGTCGAGGTAAAATGTAAAATATAAAAAGCTTTTATTTTGAAAGTTGCACTGTCCCTCCCTGCCCACAAGCCACTACTTTTTT